CACGACGCTGGTTGAAATTATCAACAATATCATTCAAACGCCTCCGTTTGTAGTGTTGGAATTTGGAATTTTGGTAGGTAATATTCGAGTAAAAAATAAATTTATGCATGTTGTTGCAGTAATTAAAAGAATATTTGTAATATACATTAGTATGATTCTATGCTAATCCTAAATTTATGTATAGATTCAAAACCATTTTTAATATGTTGTTAATTAAAATACTTTTTTATTTTCCCCAAACAAATAAATCTACCAAAAAAAATGTTTTTTACTAATATTAATTATGAAAAAAAACGTAATTTCCAACACACGTATCGATTCGATCAAATATAAGTCGATAATAAGATTTTACAGTCACGAATTTACTAAAAAAAATGTACACTTAACAAAATTAGTTAACTGGTAATTAGCCGAAAAAAGACATAAAGGGTAGAAGATTATTCATTTATAAACAATTGATAGATGATAATTGATCCATTGATTAACGGGTGGTGGAAAGAGACATGCGAATCGTATTATATGGGCTACTCATCAATTACTAATTAATTGACAGTTGCGTTCGTGTGATATTTTATTAAACGTAGTAATTAAATGGCACTAATCAGTGATCATGCAACTTTTGTTTATTAAGATACGGTAGTTGTGACTTATAAACTAACTTATATAGAGACGCTTGTTATTATACGGTACGGACAAATCTATGTTATTTTATATAATATTATATTCAAAGACCATTAAACACATATAAAGGACCGACGCCTCTTCGTGATTATATATATATATATATATATGTGTATATATATATATATATGTGTGTGTGTGTGTGTGTGTGTATTGATTAGCTCCATATTGTCATGTTCCTAGAAGAATAATTTTAAAATGTTTTTGTGATCGATAAGATAAAGAAATTGAATACATGTATTGTAATATTACAAATCGATTTTTCATCAAAATTTGAAAATTTATCTGTTTATGATTAAAAACGTAAATAATTATCAAAACAAGGTGAAGTTTGACTAGAAAAATTCTTTCATATCTTAATTTAAACAAATTATATATAATAAAATTTTGTGTTCTTTAAATTTTTTAAGTGAACCGCGCGTGTGTGTGTGTATATATATATATATATATAACATAATTCCCAATTATTTTTTTTCTAGCTAGAGGTATTCTACAAAAATGGAGAAAATAAATTATAAAAAAAGACTTCAATTAACCATTTTGAACGCAACGGGCAAAAATATACATGATTAGCTGCAGAGAAATCAAATGCAACACCTTTTTTTTATTTTTTTTTATTTTTTTTTTTAACTTGCGAATTAATATCGTATGTGTTATGGAGAATTTTAATTTTAAAATAATAATAAAGATATATACTTTAAAACAATGTGCTCGTTCTCTCCTTACCTAACTTGATCCCGAAATTTATGAAACTAAAGTCATTGCTTTTGAGTGAGAGCCAAATGTCCCAAATATGAAGCCAACCAAATTTTTTAAAAAATATAATAAATGAACAAAATATCAGTGGATATATTTTTAAAAAATGACGTTGAGATTAAACTTTTACAACCGTGTGATGCAAACCCTGGCTCATCCAAGGGCTGAAACCAGTGGGGTTGGTGGAATGGAATTAGATTATTATAATCAATAATTATTTATGACTTAATGGTGACCGTTTGGCTAGAATTCGTATATAATATTATATTTTGAGTGTTGAATGCTTAATTTAATAATTATATCAAAATTATATATATTCCATCTTACATAAATTAGAATTAGTAAAATTATAGAAAATTTAAAATTGTATTTACCATGTGAAATTATGAATCACCACTCGTTTTTTATTAGAGAAATGCGAATATAAAATGTGATGACACTATATGTACATAATTAAGAGAAAAATATACAAGCGATAAGAGATCCCAAATTCAATACCATGATTGAAATGTGATGATAAATCCAATCATAAAATCGGTATCAGTTTAATCATACTTATTTTATTTGTTTGCCCAACAATTAATTAGTATGCTTATATTAAATGTAACATGTTCGTTTGACCGTTCAATAAAACTTATTCCAACCTAATAAACCCTTTTTATTTATTTTATTTATTGATTACTCTCCCACCTCATGATTAAATCCTTTAAATTAATTCGATAGAAAACAATTGAACAAGTAGCTCTCACAATTTATAGCGAAATTGATTGAAAAGGGTTAATAAATACAGATTTTTAGTTGCTTACCGAAATAAAAATAATGACAACATTCATGGAATCTGCCATTTTTTTAAAATCGATTATTAAGCTAACAAACATTAGGGTAGGAGTTATCTAAGATTCGCTTGAGAATCACGAACGACGAAGGTTGCTTCATTAAGTTGAAACTTTCCTTTCGACCTTTTACCAAAAAAAAAAATAATAAGAGCAAATTCATTTTTGTTTTGTTTTTTCTTCCTCTTCAATGCATATCCTCGCCCACGCACTATTACCGTCACGCCTAAGCATACGTGGCGTCATACCCATCTCGCCACGTCATCATTTCTCTCCCTCTCTTATAAACCAAACCAAACACCTCATCGATCCCATAATTTACAAAAAAAAAAATCATAAAAAAAAAAGAAAAGCAGAGGAATTCAAGAACAAGATTGCAAAAGGAATGGAGGGTCTGATTCCATTTTTGTACAAAGCGATTGTACAGTACAAGAACGGAGGGACTGTATCGTCGGTTTTGTTCAGTGAACACCATCATTCTCCTTCCGCTTCTGGTTATTACATCAGACTTCCGGGAGATTCTTCCGGTCGGTTTCGGGCATCGGATCTCCAACGAGTCGGGTCGGGTCGTCATCGGTTGCTCGAAACGTCGTCGTCTTCGCCGTCTCATGCCCCCTCTAGGAACCGGCAGGTCTACGCATAGGGAAATGATCATATACGCAATGATAACGGTCACGTGATTGTGGTAATTGTATATAAATCATATTGTGTATCAAGAATATATATATATATAGATATAGATATCATAGTTACTGTTACAGTGTTACGTGTTGTTTATATCATCAAAGCTGTGGTAAAACTGTATATATAAAGACCTTTAAGGATATCCATAAGTTTGGTGATGATACAATATATGCAGTTTATTAGATAGATTATGCATAATCGATACTTTATGGTTACGGTGGACCATGGAAAATCTGCTTTCTAATGTGAATGTGATAGTTAATATATGGTTTGATATCAATTATAATTTAATGTGTTTGAATGTTTAATTTACAAGTTTTGTTCAATCCCAAAAAGGAATATTCCGTTCTCCGTTCATTATTCCTCCCAGAGTTTGGTTCCATATTATTAAATATAGCTAGCTATCACGATTTGTTGTTTATTGTATATGAAACGGGTGAAATACACAAACATACATATATACGTGCTTGTATATATATATATATATAAGCATGTATGCATTTATTTGTACCTGCGAATGTAAATGTATATATATGTCGATCGAGGGCGAATACATTATATTAAATAGCGAATTATATAAGTCAAAGGCATAGGTATAGTAGAGAGACCAGCCTAGTCGTTGGTTCATTTATGTCGAGTAAAAGTAACTGTTGGGCTATATATTAAAATATATAGTGTATAGAGTATAAAACCTTAAAATATGTCATAGAAATGTAATCATTATCCAAAAGGCAACTCTAATGAGAGATCTATAAAAGCTAATATCATAGATAACCCATTCAAGCTATTCAATTTTAAGCTGTCCATTGACAACTGCGTATATGCACGATGCTTTACATAATCGCCCGATATATGACTCTAGTGGATTTCAGTTTTATTTCAAGTGGGTCGAATAAAATATATACAAATATGTGTGGAGAACAGTAAAAAAAGGTGGTGACGTGTGGATCTGCGTGACTTCCGAGGAGGTGGGAACTGGGGAAGCGTATCTTATTACTCGGATACATAACTTCGTATCGAAACCGGACATTACATGTGTCATGTTCTTGTTTTATTTCATTTTTTTTATATTCTGTATAATGCTACCATATACATTGTATATATGTTTTTTTTATAATCCGGAAATTTACCGAAATTTTGATTCAATTATATCTCTCATAAGATTAGAGAGACCAATATCAATATTTTTTTTTCAGTGAGGATTCTGTATAATGCATTTCTCGATTAGAAAATTCATTACATACACTTATAAAAAACATATACTCTAAACAAGTCATGTATTTTTAACAAAAAAAAATCTCTTTTTATAAGATATAATTGGATAAAAAATACGGTGAATTTTTAAATTATAAAAAGAAAACTTTCTTATACCGTAACATATTATAGATATATTTATTGATCGGATGAATCTAAACTATAAGCTAGATCTCTATCATTCTTATCCAATTCTAGCTCCCTAAAACTAATTTTCCCCATTTTACATAATCTGTATTATTAGTGTAAAATAACATTGTAATACTTCATGAGAAGAAGGAAAAAAAAAAGGAAAATTTAATGAAAAAAAACACATAATTTGAGATGGGTGCTAATAGGGCAGCATGCATTTTATGGGATGATTAAATTGTTGAATATTGTGCTGAGCGTTGGATCTTGAATTTTACGTGGATCTCGTTTTATGCGTTTGTGTCTCTAATATTCATATGATGTGTTTATATATATAGTTGTATATACACATTCATATACTCTCCGAAGTTTGTTCCACATTGGTCAAAGGTGTGTCTCCCGTCGATTCTTTTAGTTATAACCAAAAGCTGCCCAATCATATTCGATTCGTATGTAGACAATATGTGCAATATCATTAGATAAAGGACATAAATCGTATGACTGACGTGGATTATTATATGATCGTATCAGAGGGGGAATGAATCTCCAAATCTTCCTTAGAAAAATAAATTTTGATTTTGATCAAAATCCAAGATCCATTCCTCACCGTCTCTCGCTTTACAACAACTCGGGAACTGATTAACCTCTTTAACCCCAATTAATTAAAAAAAGATTAGTCAAAATATTTATTACAACAATAATAATAATAATAATAATAACAACTCAATATACCACAAATCTTAACGTTGGTAACAATAATAATAATAACAAAGGCCAAAACCCCCACGAGCCCTCATTAAAACAGAACCAAACTCCTCTTTTTTTAAAAAAAAATCTCTGCCACTAACAATGGAGAAGCATGTTTACTCGCTTGTGTCTATCCTCTTCACCCTGTTGCTGATTTATAATAATAATAATAATAATAACAACTCAATATACCACAAATCTTAACGTTGGTAACAATAATAATAATAACAAAGGCCAAAACCCCCACGAGCCCTCATTAAAACAGAACCAAACTCCTCTTTTTTTAAAAAAAAATCTCTGCCACTAACAATGGAGAAGCATGTTTACTCGCTTGTGTCTATCCTCTTCCCCCTGTTGCTGATTTTCACCGTCCCTTCCGCCGGTCGCCACCCCAAGGCCAAGCACCCGGCGGCGGCGGCGGCGGCTGGGCCCCCACGTTGCCTGAACTGCGGCCCGATGGTGGTTCCCTACCCGCTAAGCACGGCCCCGAATTGCGGCGACCAGTCGTATAAAATACGCTGCGTTTTGGGGAAACTGTACCTCGATACGCTCCATGGATCATCTTATATAGTCACCTCGATCAACCCGTTAACCCAGCGGGTAATTCTCCAACCTCCTGGCCTCGCAAATCCAGCGGTTTGCGCCTCAGTGGACGCCTCGAAACAGGGTCTCGAGCTCGACCCCAAACTCCCCTTCAGCATCACTTCCAGCAACACTGTCTTGCTCTTTAGCTGCCCTGATGCTATGTTGCAGGTAACACTCATGCATCTTTCTATACCGGTTTTCTGGTCCAACCGGCACTTTCGGTTAAACCGGTTAGAGGTCTTAACCGAGATTTCTGGTTTTGCAGGCTCCAATGGACTGTACAGCAGATAGCATATGCCATGTCTATGCCAAGGACAATGCACCGGCTTGTTCAAAGGCTCCTTTGTGTTGTACCTTCAAGACGGGTGGAACACAAACGGCTTACACGATCAGGATCAATGGTGGCGGCTGCTCGGCTTACCAAAGCTTTGTCGGGTTAGACCCGAGCAAAGGGGTGCCTCCGGGCAAGAAGTGGCCCGAGCCAGGGCTGGAGTTACAGTGGGCATTACCCAAGGAGCCTGTCTGCAAATCTGATGCGGATTGTACTGTCATGTTGGCTAAATCCAAATGCTTGGCTGACCCATCGAGCCCTGGGCTGAAACGATGCTCCTGCAAAAAGGGTCTCGAGTGGGATCCCGTCAACGGAATGTGTAAGTAAAAAAACCGTAACATTCTTTGGACAATCTCAGCTACTGATCTATGAACTGGTATCGGGTTTTCTAGGTTTCATCTAAGGTAGTTCTGAATGGGTGAAGTAGTCAGTCAAGTCAGTCTGTTTTTTTTAGAATCTTTGAAAGGTTCTTCTGTTCAGTAGTCCCAGTCATGCCTGAAGCTACTATACTGTGAGTACGGAAAACCTTGCAAGGCAAAACTGAAACGAAACCAAAGGCTGACAGATATTTCTAAGTTCAAATGACTGAGTTTGATCTGTTTCTGTGTACCTGTTTAGGCGGGAAGTGCAGCCATGGGAAGCGCTGCAAGAAAAAGAAGAAAACCGTTGTTTTTGCAGGTAAGATCTGTTCTGGAACGCCTAGAATCTATCGAGGAGGCTTCCTTGTTTGATGTCTTTTCTGTAATCTTTCTTCTTGAAGGTGCTGCTGCTGCTGCGGCTGTGGGGATATCACTCGCCATTGCTGTAGGGGTTATAGCATATAACCGTAGTGACCATAAAGTGAAGAAAGAAAACCATAAGAACATTGTCAAGGAGAGGGAAGAGATGCTGAGTGCAAAATATACCGGAAAGTCGGCGAGAATCTTCACAGGCCGAGAGATAATAAAAGCAACCAACAACTTCTCCAAAGACAATCTTATAGGAACCGGAGGATTTGGGGAAGTGTTTAAAGCCGTTCTTGATGACGGAACCATCACAGCGATCAAACGAGCAAAGCTGAACAACACAAAGGGAACCGATCAAATCCTGAATGAAGTAAGAATTCTGTGCCAAGTTAACCACCGGAGCTTAGTTAGGCTTCTGGGCTGTTGTGTGGAGCTCGAGCAGCCATTGTTGATCTACGAGTTCATCCCCAATGGCACGTTATTTGAACATCTCCATTGCAACATCAATGGAAAATGGAGACCATTGACATGGAGGCACCGCCTGCAAATAGTTCACCAGACAGCTGAAGGCCTGGCTTATCTCCACTCTGCAGCAGTGCCACCCATTTACCATAGAGATGTAAAATCCAGTAACATCTTGCTCGACGAGAAACTTAGCGCTAAAGTTTCCGACTTTGGGCTCTCCCGGCTCGTGGATTTGACGGAAACCAACAATGAAAGTCACATCTTCACCTGTGCCCAAGGAACACTGGGATACCTTGATCCAGAATACTACAGGAATTTCCAACTAACCGACAAGAGCGATGTGTACAGCTTTGGGGTTGTTCTGCTGGAGATTCTCACATCGAAAAAGGCCATAGATTTCACCAGACAAGAAGAAGATGTGAACCTCGTGATGTACATGAACAAGATGATGGATGAAGAAAGATTGATGGAATGCATTGATCCGCTGCTGAAGAAGACGGCTAACAAAGTTGAACTGGAGACAATGCAGTCACTTGGCAACTTAGCGGCAGCGTGCCTCAATGAGCGGAGGCAGAATCGTCCATCGATGAAAGAGGTTGCTGATGAGATCGGATACATCATAAGCATTCTCACGAGAGAAGTCTCCGAGGCACAGTTGTCTTAGGACTGTTCAAAAAAAAAATCTTGTATCATCATCCGCATAACCTGTTTATGAACTGGAGAATTCATCTTCCGGATTTTACTTCCACTAGATTCAGCAGAGCTGGAAAACATCTCAGGTATTCATTTTTCTGTTTCTGTTGACCTGCTTACGTTCAGACGGGCTTGAAAAAAAGTACCCAAAAATTAATTATACTAGATAAGCATGTTTAAGAGAAGAATGAGAGCATTTACATTCATGAAGTATGATGAATTCTGTAAATTGGAGATGATGTCATGTCAAGATCCAAAACATCACATGTGATGATACCGCAGCCAGAGCCCAGGTGATGAACGCAAAAGCGACGGATATCTGAAACCTATTGCAGGACAGATAGACTCGTTGCCTGCAAAAATTGGTATCTTCTACAACTAAAACTGTAACTCCTGCTGATGAACACGCAGCCGCAAGAGACAGAAATGCAGTAACCTGTAAATTCCAATGAAAACTATCACACAACCGAAAAAAATTCAAAATTTAAGTCCCAAAAGACTAACATTACGTGGCTTCTCGTCTAACCAAACCTAATCAAGCTGGGTCAACCCAGTGACAAATTCAGGCAGAGAGGGGAATTTGCATGATAGTATCAAACATCATAAGAGAAATGAAGTGTTCTATGAGATAAAATGAGAAAGAATACATACATACCCAGTCACCAACAGTGAAGAGGCTCAATAGAATGGGACTCTGCAACTCAGTTTTTCTCCTTATTGCATAAACGTCAAGACAAGCTAGTCCGAAGCTCCACATCAATTGAAGACCCATAGATGCAACTAAAAAGCTGAAACCATTCATACATTTTATCATCAAACAAGCGAAAAAGTGTAACGATAAGATGATCTAGAAATCGAATTACAGAACAGAGCCTAATCAAGGCAACACTACCTACATCACATCTTCTCTCGAACAGGAAAGGAAACTTAAAGACAAGCAACCCCACTAAAACAATTTAAAAGAAGTGTTACATAGAATTGGATAACATCCAATGATATTGTTCATACTAGAGGCTTCCTAGTTTTGGGATAGAGTCCCCAAATGGGTATTTGATAACGACACTAAAAGTTTGCATCTTTCAAAGGAAATAGCTCCACCAACACAAATCAGGCATTCCAACTCATATTTCGACTTGGTAGCAGAACCTACGAACCTGTCTAGCACACTAAATCATTTCACATCAATCATAAACAGGTACTTCTCATCATTTCGACAACAAATTAAGGATCCATTTCATCAAACTTCTGGTGAAACTCTCTAGAAGATCAAAGTACCAGAAGGCGGTGTAGCCGGAGAAGCCGAAAGTAGAAATCATGACACCAATCGAAGCAGCAGAAGAAGCACACTGCCCTAATCTCAACATCAACCCACTCATAGTTCCTGGGCTCCCGATCATCTCCTTTAATCTGTCAGAGACCAGACGAAGATGAGAGAAACAGCGCTCAAGAACTTGACCAGATCCTATGTTGCGGATTCTAGCTCCGTTTCATCACCAAAATCGCAATCAACCACGATCTCGACTAGGAAAAAAACCCTGAAATCGATTTCCTTCTCTGGGTTTTACACATAGCCATTATCCCATTCCGTAAATCACCCAAAACCCCAAAATTCCAACAGCTCTTCACCGAATCACACCAAAATCACGGATCAACAACAAAACCCATAAACCATATTCTGGGTGTTTCACAGCAATACCACCAACAAAGAAGAAAAAATCAGTGTCGGAATGAAACGAAGCTTAATTTGGGAAGATTCCTCCAGAGTTTATCATCTAACGCCACTTTGGGATGATCAATCACGTTTTCTCTAGCTTGAAGCCAAAGAAATTAATCAATCAAAGCCACTGCGAGTGAAAGTGATGGAAAATTGAAACCCAGCGTCGAAGAATCTCGCCTTTCGGTACGTGGGCCCCAACATATGGACTCGAGCCGAACTACAGAATCCCCGTCATTCGTCTTCAAATTGAGGAGAAAAAAAGTTTTTGACGCTGAATAAATTGGGCCTGATTTGGGTAGTTTTATTATTGGGCCTTTATTTCTGATGGGCCATTATAACCCAATAATCAATTAGGCTGTCATCGACTTCCCAATGATTTTGAGTTTTTTTCCATCACTAAACCCTAAATCCCTTCTCCGTTAAACCCTCCCCCGTCGATTTCTTCTCTGAGAAAATCCTAGTCTCCTCAAAATGGCGTTGAACACCACGTTCCGGAGAGCATCTTCGACCGCGGTCGCTCTTGCCTTCCGTGCAGTTAGATCTCCGTCGAGCATCGGCTAGAATCTCGCCTTTCGGTACGTGGGCCCCAACATATGGACTCGAGCCGAACTACAGAATCCCCGTCATTCGTCTTCAAATTGAGGAGAAAAAAAGTTTTTGACGCTGAATAAATTGGGCCTGATTTGGGTAGTTTTATTATTGGGCCTTTATTTCTGATGGGCCATTATAACCCAATAATCAATTAGGCTGTCATCGACTTCCCAATGATTTTGAGTTTTTTTCCATCACTAAACCCTAAATCCCTTCTCCGTTAAACCCTCCCCCGTCGATTTCTTCTCTGAGAAAATCCTAGTCTCCTCAAAATGGCGTTGAACACCACGTTCCGGAGAGCATCTTCGACCGCGGTCGCTCTTGCCTTCCGTGCAGTTAGATCTCCGTCGAGCATCGGCTCTGCCGTCCCCGCCGAGAGGATGATCCTCGGAAGCCAGCTCGTCCGAGGAACGGCTTCTTCGTTTTCGAGATTCTCGACTTCCGCATCGGCTACGAAGGCCAGCTCAGATGAAAATCTGATTCGCGTGCTCGAATCTGAGATTGAATCCGCGGAAACCGAGGAAGATCCTCACCGTGACGTCGTAAGTGTTTTGTTGTATACGTGCCCTGAAATGCGTGAAAGCTCGATTGCTTTGATCTTTTTTTGTAAAAGGAATGACCCCTCAAAGGGTTCATTTTTCGGGTATATCCTTAAAATTCTCTGCGATGACTGGCTCAGAGAGGGTTATTGATTTGAATTTTAGCACCTGCTATTTAATCTCAACACATCTATACGTTGTAATGACTGTGAAAAAGAGTTCCTTTTCTCAAGGGTTTTAAATTTTTATAGGTCTCGGAAGTGTCCAGGAACAGAGTGGACATTATCAATCTCCTACTGATATTTTCTCGCTTCATACTCATTTATGATGATCTTGTGCTTAGTAGTTTACGATGTACATTTTGAAAAATGTCAAACAGTTGGAGAACAAACCAGAAGGGTTTCCCTTTGAAATAGTAGACAAGCCAGGGGAAAGAACAGTATTGCTGAAAGGGAAATTTGAAGATGAAACAATTGAGGTGGAAGTGGACAACCTCACTCCTCTTGAGGATGAAGGTGGTAATGATGACGATGAGGAAGCAGAGAATAGAATCAGGGTTCCGATGGTTGTGAATGTGACCAAAGGAGGAGATGGTCTCTGTCTGGAGTTTGGTGTCAGTGCATTCCCTGACGAGGTTGTGATCGATACCTTGTCCGTTAAGCGGCCCGGCTCTGAGGATGATCAACTTGCATACGAAGGACCCGACTTTGAGTAAGTCTCATCTATAGATACTTAGTCAACGTTTCGGAGCATGATGTGCTAATTAAAAAAAGTTTGATGTGACTTTGATTTCTCATATTTTTTAATGGGGCAATGGGTTATGGGTGTCAACTCTATTTTGCATTTGCATTGGTTTTTTGAATGTGAATGTGTTTATGGGGCAGGGACTTGGACGAGAACTTGCAGAAGGCATTCCACAAGTTCCTCGAGATAAGAGGGATACAAGCGAGTGTGACAAACTTTCTGATAGAGTATATGGCCGTAAAAGACAGCCGAGAGTACCTTCAATGGCTTAAGGACCTCAAATCTTTTGTCGACAAGTGAAGAAGATTGATGAGGGTTTTGTCTGTTTGTATTTTTACACTATTTGTTTGCTTTGATAGAGAGCATGTGGATGATGAACTCAATACCATCGTCATGACATGAGAGGAATTTGTCAGTAAAGACCCTGCAATTGCCTCTGTTGTGTTAATAAAATCCATATTAACAAAACAAAGATTGCCTTTACAGTCTGAAAACGGAAAAAGGAGGCCAAAGTTACATACAAACTCACCAACTCAAAGGAAAAAAGGGTTTCTTTTGCACACTGTCACTTCTACTACATCAAAAGGCTCTCTCTCTCTCTCTCTCTCTCTCTCTCTCTCTCTCTCTCTCTCTCTCTCTCTGTTTGTAAGAATGAAATATGCCAAATAACAAACATAACAAGCCAGGATTCCACAAGCTGTGTAGAGAAACAGCCCTACACACGGCAGGACGGGATACAGAAATGCATCTCTAAGTTATATCCAAGTTTCTTTATGGAAAGATTTCACTTACTTCTCCTTTCTAAATCTCAGTGTAGTTATTACGCCACACCGCTCGAAACTCCTCCCTGAATGTGTTCAGACGTGCCTTCAAGTTCGGCGTTCTAAGGCTTGCATGGAGGACCGTCGCTGCATTAATGGAGAAGCATGGGGGTTTATGAATGAGATCTGTTGGCGCGACATAGGGTGATAAACTACGATGACTATTGCAGAGACGACTTACCAAGAAGTCCAATGAGAAGCGCCAATGACACAGTGAACAGACCACAGGAGATGTACCAAAGGGTGAAACTCACTGCCATCATCATCAAATAATAGCTCATAATAGTTGGATACAATTCATACTTGCTCGTCAAATGGCACTGTACATAGAGTAGAGAAAAATGAATGTATATACTGAAGCGTACCCAGTGAAAATACTAAGACAAATACCCAGCGGGGCTGACCACATATATGAATTGCTCTTTTCGCTGACGTTCGCCCACGGATGACAGGCCTGTAAACAGCAAAATAGTTCACGAACAAATAGCGAGTAAGGAATAAACATAATAGTAGAGCAGATGAGAAGTAAGCATACGTCAAAGGAGGCCTCATTTTCGCAGCTAAATGTGGAGAGAATTTTCTGACAGTTCGAGTCACCTTCTCACTAAAAGTACCTGCAAAACTGTAGACAGCAATCATCAGAGACAACATAGAACCAAATCCCGTGAAATTTCCTATCAAATTCTTGTAAATTAGTAAAATAAGTACCAGAATCATTTGCAACAGAGAAAGATCAATTAGACACGATAGAGCAGAAACCCGCAAAAACGTTTAAGAGAGACACTGATAGAAGCCGAAACAACAGACAGAACACATAGCTTCCCCCCTTCTTTCTAACTAATCCCAGAATTGACTCTAAGGAAGAATACAACAACATTTTATACGCTAGATACAACAGCAACCAGCGAAAATTGCTGCACGCGCAGCATTTACACCAGAAGACAGGTATTGATTCAAGCAATACGGTTACTAGTTACTACAAGACCAAATACCTGAATACAAGACGTCACACAAACCAACGCATCTAAATCTGGCTCAAAACACAAACCTTATATTGTAGCTATACAATGCAATAAATTATAACAAGTGGGTAGCTACCAGTACCAATCCCAGTATCAACAGGGCAGGGCAAAATCAGGGTGTAACTGTTTCAAAAAGATAGAAGTAAGGAAGACAACCTGTCATTCAAGAATGCCACAGTTAGAGCCGTCAAAAGAGCAGCGATAATCGCTAGAGGCCTTGTAAGGAATCCCAATCCTGCAAGTAACCTTGACATTGAAATACGACGAGATAGGCCAACGGACAGAAAGATATGCCACTAAATCACTTCCTTAACATACCGAGTATGAAAACGATCATGATGAAATAGTTAGTCCGATAGCTGCAAAACATAAAACAGGTGACGTTACATTCGTATGTAAGAAACAGAAATTAACCCAGTTGCATAATTCTGTTGCATTTGGACAAAGATCAGACACAACATAGCCTAAAAACAGTAACAATCTCTTTTCCTGTAAAATTACTCCTCCGCCCACATTATTAAGCCTCGCAGGCTAAGGAAGATCGGAGAACGAATTCATACAACATAAGCAGTTCGATGTCTCTTTACACTAAGTTTTGCAACGATGATATGATCCTCGGCAAATAACGTCCAGAATACAATCGTATCATCAGATCCAAACGACTATGAGTCCGACTATGAGACATAGGACATGTTCAGACAACAAATCGAACAAACAAAACATATGAATGAGCGATTAATCTGATAACGCAGAGCTATCAAGCAGGTTAGAGAGAGATAGATCGTACTAGTAGAGATTGCACTTGAGGCGACTATCCCATTTTGCACAAGATTTCGGAACGGTAAATCTAGAGAAGAACTCGGAGAGTGGACGCGGCGGCGACGACCAGTCAACCTCCCGAAGCGCGTCGACGAGATCGTCAACCGTGACGTTTCCCCAATCCATGACCTCGAATCTCCGGTCACTCTCACTCTTCTCTAACAACCCCCCGCGAAGAAACCTAAACGAATCGGAGTCTCCTGTCACGCTCCGGCGACGATGATCCGATCAGGCTTGGACGGAGAAGGATCGCGCTTGAATCCGCGACAACTGCGAAAAAGAACCAAACGGAGTCGTACACGGATGGTAGAATGACGAAAGAGACGAATGACACGTGTGCTTCGTTCAATGGACCTCTACAGATCTGGAATGACATATTTACCCTCTCTCGTTTCTCGAATTCCTTCCAAACCTTTAACCGGTTCTCTTTCTAAACCAAACATCAAAACATTAGAATCCGGTAATTAGCCGGTTCAATGTGGTAAACTTGCTAATGAACTTCCATCGGACAAAAGCCACTAATAATGTGTTTTTGAGAATTAATTTCATATTAATTGGCATATACACATTTACATCCTATACACGTGCTGAAGGAAGACACTCAGTGGCTACAGCCTACAGACACTAAAAAAAACTTTTTTTTCCGTTGAGGCTTATTGTGTCATTTTCTAAAAACGGGAAAATCAAGCGTGTGAACCAAAACCTAAATCAAACCCAAGTGCAAGCGAAAATAGTAACGTGACAGTTAAAAGTCGGTTTAAAAGAATGCAGAAGAAAACGACAAAACAGCGAATCTCGAAGAGGAAGAGTCACAAGCGGATCTCACCAAGACATGGAAGACGGCCTCCGCTCTTCCTCCGCCGC